GTGAAGCTGCCATTCTGAATCAAATTCAGCACTTGTTATTTTAGGAATGACAGCAGCCATTACCAAAGACCCCCCTCCAGGGTTGTGTCTTGTACAAACCGGGGGAGGAGACAGCTCCTACTGTGAGAGATTTACCAAGAAAAAACAAAAATAAATGAGGGTGGAGAGGTTATGCATTCTTAGTTGGATGCATTGCAAGATTTCTTTCTGTTCTTTGACCCTACTTGATTGTCTAGGGGACAGACAAGAGGAAGGCAGAGATGAAACAAAAGAGCTACAAATGGACAAGTAAAGAGGAGAAGAAGAGGAAGAAGGAGAAGCTTCCTACCAGACTTTTATGACAGTGTTAGCCTAAGCTTTGTTGATGCAGTGATAGAACTGGGCCTGAAAGACTTATTTGTAAAAGGACAATGATCTGGTCACAAAGCTTATTTTCATGCTTCCAGGATATTCAGAACATCACATGCCAGTCTATGGACGTCAGCATTCTGACTGATATCAACCACGCACTATAAAAAGATAAGAAATTTGGACTTTCATATGAAGAATTCTTTACATCAACAAAATACTAAAAGCTCTCCTGCTGTGTGCCTGAGATGCCATAAACATTGCACCAACTCAGAACTGACATAACCTTTTCTACAGCAGCAGGTCTGAACTTAAAGGTTTATTAGCGGGCATCCATTTGCATAATCCTGTGGATTCCGTTTTTATTACTAAAAAATAAAAACATAAATTCAAAGTAAATTACTTGCTTTTTGCAGCCATTTTAACACTACTTTTGTTTCAGTACTGGATTTCCAAAATGCCTCACACTAAAATTGTTATAAATCATTTAAAATTAAAAGTAGCTGGCAAGATAGTCTTCTAAAGAGGTGGGTCTGCCATGTCTAAACTCAGTCTCCTCTTCATGGATGTCATTTCCTATGCAAAGGGATTTGGTACGATTTGTGTTTTTCTCCTTAAGACTAAATTGCCAATAGTATTATGTAGCAGTAGAGCCTCTGAAAATGAAATAAGGTATTTTATCCTACCCTTAATGTATCTTATTTTATGCTTTCAGAATATGGAGTAATAGCTGCTTTTGTAGTTAAATGCAAACTCTGGCTGATGAGACTGAAGAATTTATCTGAAGTATTTTGGAGAAGACCCATTAGTCTAGGTGCAAGAAAATTATGTCCTTTCTTTTGTTCCTCACTCTGATGAATGATCAGTTAATAATCATGATAATTTTTTCTGGTGACTATATTCTGATTCTATTAGTCTTTAACTGAACATTGGCATATTATGACTTGTATTTTAAGAAGCACTGCTAATTGCCCCACCAACTACATTCCTAGATAGTGTTCATTATATATACCAATAGGAAAACATTAACTAAATGCACATCCAAAAGCAAAAAGACAGTGGTATTACTTGAGCAGTCTGAACACAAGGAACAGTAATTGGGCTTGAAGACTACTGAGGAAAACTGAAATTCATTTTCTATTTTTGACCTAAGACACTCTTATCATTGCATTATCTCAATTTATTAAGATGCAGTCATACAGTTGTCAATAAGCACAGCAGTGATAAAATCATATCTTCAACAAAGGCATGTGGTTACTAAATCACTTTTTTGTTATTACAGAAGTATCAAGGAAGTTTAACAAGAGCTTTGCCAACTACAGCAATACGCTCTAACACTAGCAAAACTGGTAAAAGATCTTAATATCCTCCACAAAAATGCAGAGAAAATAAAAACAAAGTGGTGATATCTGGACAATACTTGGATATACTCTGTGGATCTTTTTCAGCTACAAAGAGAGCAAATGAAAGGCAAAGAGATTACACAGGTATGCTGACCTTGCTTGTGTTTATGTTTTCATCCATGTCACACTTTGATCATGCAGAAAGTTGTATGTATTTTAATGTAATTGTGCTGTGCTGATGGTTGTGTAGGCATTAAGCCTGTCCAACAATCACATGTGGGAAAGCCCTTGTAATATAAACAGAATCCAGAATACTAATGGACTTTCACGTAAATAACTTTCAAGAAATATCATATAAACCAGATGTGCCATCTGTGTGACTGAACATACTCTTGATTAGAAAGTAGACATCCTTAAAAAAAAAGCTTCAAATTACATCAATAAAAGCCCTGTTCATTCTGCTGTTCCTTCCCTGTTCATTCAGTTCTGAGGAACTGCTTTTATGTAATCCAGGCATGGTTTTCTGCTTTAAAAGAAGCTCACGTTACTGAAGTTAGCCTCTTTGTGCTGGGTTAACCTAATTTCTTCTGCACTGGAAGAGCAATGGAAAATAAAAGTTGAAAGAAACAACAAAAAAAGAACTGATGATCTTGTTGATGCAGAGTAAGTGGACTGAAGCATATCCCAGGCGCTTCCTAGTTATTTTAATTTTGTAAGTGATTTCATTGATTTCACAAAGCCATTCATATCCCTAAATTATTACATAAACAGTAAGTGCATTAATAGACTGGAACATAATAATTTGGTTTCAAACAGTTAAGTATTCAGAGTTGGAGAAAAGCCAGAGAGAATCTGTGATTCGTGAACATTCATCAGCAAAACTGCTTTGTTTTTTTTTCATATCAATTCTTTAAACCCTAAAAAAATATTATCTCATAGCATTTAAGGAATTGTTTAATTAAGAAATTAAGATATTTTAAGTACACTAGCATCAGCTTACAGCTAAGGATAGGGATGTAAGTGTGTAAGAAGTAAAGTATGTTCTTTTATGACCCTTCTATTGATTCTTCTCGGTCTCTAGAAAAAAAAAAAAAAAAAAAAAATCAAAGCATACAAACATGTTTTCCCAGCTAAAGTCAGAGGCAGAAGTATGGCCCAAAATCATGATCTATTTAGTCTCTGACTCTCAGCTTTTTTTCAGTTTGGAGATGCTGAGTTTTTGGTTTTTCCAGCTCTCGTGAGACTTCCAATGCAGCCTGAGGCAGCTGGGCACTCAAACACCAGTGAATGCCCATGACATTGAAAACTCCTTTGAAAGTTCCACTGCTGCTTTCTTTTCCATCTTCCCATTTGTTTTTAATACTGTGTTTTTCATTTAAATTAGAGAGATCACAGAAGGATCTACTGATCTACTCCCTCTCAATGATTCCCAAACAATAGGAACACAATACAAATCTAGTGGCTTTGATGCTTGTTAGAATCTTCCCATTTGTGTACCACTTTAAAACACACTGTCTGTGGAACTGTCATGCCAATAAGGGTTTCTGAAGAACTCGTTACCCTGTAGGAAGTAAACAACTGGACAATCATGACAAGATATTGCTTGAAACAAATTAAAAAACTTTGGAGGCTAGAACTGGTTCTAGCTTAATGACTGAAAGAACTCCAAGGCACATTAAAAGAGATCTTGTCAAAACAACACATGAGGTTTATGCAACTTTATATAAATTTAACAAACTAGTTGCTTGCAATAATACAAATTTGGGCTAGAAAGGAAACGCTGCTGTTCAAAAGTTGATCACATCAGAATCTGTAATGACCTACCTGATAGCTAAGAGGAGATAAAAACTATTCAAGATTTTTCGGTTCCTCCAACTACATATAGCCTTTGGTTTAATTGCTATTAATGTATTCTATACATTATACTCCTAAACTTAAAAAAAAAAAAAAAAGTCAGTATTTTCTGAATTTTCTCTCACACAGAATGACCACATGGGAAAGCTCTCTGAGCCAAGAAAGCATTAGATTACTACTCTGCTTACAGATCTTCTTTATCGTGTCACTTAAAGATGCTCTTCTGCAAGATGGATGTTAACCCATAGTCTTAAAATCTACATTTAAAATTAAGTGTAGAAGCAGTATGAAAATACTCCTGTGATCACTTCCACATCTATATTAGGATCACGTTTTTTACTACCAGCAGAAGGATAAGGTACAGAGCCAAGTTCTATTCTCAGTCATCAGTGTAAATCCAAAGTATCCTCATCAAAATCAGTGAACTTATTCCAGATTTACACTCCTGGGTCTAAAGCAGAGTTCAAGCTGTCTTGTTTTAATATTCTTCAGCTAAGAAGAACATCTGGCTTTCCAGAACTCTGGAAATGTGAGTTTGTGTACTGCCAGCTTAACAACAAAAAAATCAGATTCTTTTGTGTTATTTTCTTGAGCACAGATACAGTGAAATGACATTGACTCCAGCCCCACACTTCTGTTGCCAGAAGTCAGAAGTGTGTTAATATTTGTATTTTTGTCCAAATATATCTATTAGTATGAGTTTATCAGCTCCCCAGGAAATTCATTAAGTTCTTTTTACTTTTTTATTTTAAGATTGACTTTTTGGAGAAGTTCAAGACTAGTTCCTCTAACTTTTCTTTCACTACTCTACCAATTAATGAGCTTGGTAACTCTTAAATCTCACAGCATAATGACTGTGTTTCCTTGCACTGTGTGAACAGTGCAATTGTAGGTAGTCTCAAAAGGCTGCGGGATTAACCATCAAGTATTTATTTTCATTTCCTTAATCATAATGTCCAGGGAAAACGCTCTGTTTAGGAAAGAATGGTCATTAAGTGCTAGACGTGACAACCTGAGAATAGAATGAAGCTACGTAGAATTTCCCTCTGTGTTTTCTCTTGTACCAAAATACCCATGGAGAAATGAAAAGTTGGAAAAGCCTGTAGAGATGTATAAAGTCATCTCAGGCATCCAGCCACAGAAATCTCTGAGTGTGGGACGTGATAGCACAGGCTAGCCTGGAACAAAATTATCTCATTGCTAGCATGGGTCAAAGAGTTTTTGCAATACTAAAAAGAATCACAAACATGTAACATCCAGCAATCAGACCAGACAGCAAAAGAAGGCACACCGGTACACTGGCTGGAGAATATCAGATCAGCACAGAGGAAGCTGAGCCCACAGGGAGCCCTGTATGTGATCAAACAGAAAACAGTAAGGCTAAGTAGTAACTTACAGAAGCCAACCAAAATAGAAAGCATAAAATCAGAGGTAACTTATACATAACATCGGAATTTATTTCAACAGAAATATTTAAAAAAAAATAGAGGTTTTGGTATTTTAAAAGGGACTGCCCACTTCTGTTGAAAAAGATCAGTGCAGAAATAGGACCACAAACCACTAACTCCAGTGTCCTTCGATACACTCTCTCCATTAAATAGCACCAGTGTTAGTTATGACTGAGGGCTGCAGGATGAGATCTGAGTTAATTTTCAGGAACATAGTTTTTACTGGCTGAACAGCTGGAAAATACTTCTCTGTTCTAGAGGAGAATTGTAGAAAATCTTGTCATGCCAGTGTCACTGAAGAATATTAATGATAGGTAACTATCATATGATTGACAACCTTAAGTAATGGAGCTGGGGGTTGGGACAGATTGTAACATAGAAGCACTGGTCGGAATTCACTTTCTGAGGAAGTCTAAAGGCATTCTTTATATGGGAAAACAATGTATGTCTTTTAATTGGAAAATTCGCCACTGCCCTTTTCTAGAATGCCACCCTTGGTTTAAGTCAAGTCATTGGAGCACAAAATGAAACCCATAGGTCAGAGGCTGTAATTCCAGGTGAGATCACAGGAACAGCAAAGTGCTAATTGAATAAATAACACTGTAGAGCTGAATGAAGAGAGGGGAAAGAGGCTGGAAAGGCATGGCTTGCTGATGTGATGAATGTCACTCTCCGAAAAAAAAAAAAAAAAAAAATCACACAAGGGAACATTACCAATCCAAGTAACTAAGTGAGCAATAGTATCTCATATTCCAAAGTATCTCAATAAATTAAGGGCAATTTTTTCATTATTCTACAGAAAGGAAAATTAATTCTCCAGCTTAGGTTGTGAGGCCTGCATTTCAGCCAGCCTGCGGGCCAGGTGTGGCCCAAAGAACAGCCCCCACTGCCCACCAGGGACTAGACAACATGTGCCTTTATGTATGTGCTTCCCAGTTGGTGCCAGTCTGAATATTTTTATCTACTAACCACTGGCTGGCTTTTAAGTAACTTCTGCACATACTGGTCCTGCCAGGATACTTGCATCCTCTTGTTGGCTGCTTCGCTCTGCTTCTTCTCCCATATTTATCCCTCCTGGGCAGGACATCACACACTGTCTCACACGCCAACCTAGCCAGAGAAAGGGGAAAGGGAAGACGTTAGAGAGAATGAATTCATTTGGAACAGCAGCAGGAGTTGTTTGGATGAGTGTTGGGAAGTAGAAGACATTAGCAGTCTCCGAGCTCATTTGAGATGCAGCCTTCTGCATTAAAAACATCTCCTGTTCCATAAGGACTAGTCCAATTTTGTGAAGTGGTTGCTTTGGTTTGAGGGATCATCTTGTGTTACAGGATAGTCAGTTAACATCACCAGTACAAATAGGAGCTTTTCAGAAGAGCACACACATTATAAAAGATACTACATGATCCCAAACAAGGGGAAAGATTTTAACTAGATCTTTTCTCAAATAAGTGAAAACATCCTTGAATAAGAGAGAGGTCAAGGTGTAACAAATGCAATTAGGGTAATGCATTCACCTGAAATGTGCATCAACAGTTGGTTTTCCTCTACAGGAGAAACAAACGAGTCTGGAATTCCTGCTTCAGCAACCAAGGGAAATTGAGCCAGTTCTTATAGAAGCAGCAAGTCTGTCAAGGGAAAAGTTTAAACTATACATGGAAGGACTTATGAACAGAAAATTCATAAGGCAGATCCAGATGCTGGAACAGCAGTCTGGATATTTCGTCTGTTGTGTTACAGGTGGGTTTTTGTTTCCTGGTATTACAGCACCCTGCTGTATTTGTTGCACAAGCACAGAGGTGTATTTTTTAACAATATTTTTTTTAACAAAGTGACAGCATGGTAGTCCTGGCTGAGTGTGTAAGGTTGATCACTTCTGGCTCAGAGATTCCAGGAAGAGGTCTACAATCCCAATGGAAGGGCCTGGGTGAATGGGTGACGGTGACACTCCTGACAGATTCTGGAATACTGAATTCCTATTCCAAGTCCCAACTTATTCTATGCCTTTACATTAATCTAAAGAGTCCTCAGTAAGGTCTGCTCCATGGGCACTGCTAGTCCATCCAGCATGGTAACTATTGCCTTTGCTTCAACAACGGGAAAATAAAAGGACCAGTTATCTGGCTTAATGTACAGCCCCATGGGGTTTGGAACAGAGGAGAGAGAGAATAGGGAAACCTGCAGGTATTGAACAGCTACTGACTTCTATTATGATCTTCCCAGCTATCAAATAGCCCTCAAGAAACAAAACCTTGGGAACCCCTACTTTAATACACTTTGTTTCTTACAGAGGAAAAAGTTCACTGATTAAGGGGGTGTTTCCTGCCAGAGAACAACAGAGAGCCAGCAGTAGGTGAGGAGCCATCTCTGTGCTTCTGCCTGAAGTAAGTACATGTTTCCAAGCTCGTGCTCACATCCCTGTGCCAGGGAATCTGTTGGCTGAGGCTAATGCACCTAGAACGAGAGGTCACACAGTACAGATTTCCATCAGTTAGCCAAATGCATTTCACAGCTTTTACGCCCAGCCATTATTTAATATCTGCTGCCAGGAGCCACCTTGTCTATGCTGACATCACCCTGTCAGGTTTTTCACACTTTCTTACAGAAAGAATGACACACTCCAGCATGAACAGACACATAATGCCAAGAAACAGACAGTATAACTCAAGCTCCTAGATGGGCTTGAGTAATTTATTTCTCATTCAGCTTCATTTTTACAACTTTTGGAAGAATGTTTTTGAGACTGAGACTTCCATGTGTAGATTTTCTTCTCAAAAAGCACTAAAACTTTTGACAACATACTAAATAATTTCAAGTTGAAAAAAATCAAGCATTTCAGAGTACATTACCCTCATAATGAATCAAGACATTTGTTGTCATCATGACAGGCTTTCTTGTCAATACTCTAAGTCACATTTTTATGGCAGTGTATTTGGTATACCATAAAAAAGACATTAAAAACATTATTAAAAACTGAAATCAACATAATCTATATTCTGACCAAGAAAATGATATTATTTTAACAATTTATAGTGACGCTGCTGGGTATTATATCAAAGAAAACAACTCAATAGCAAAAGCCAGTGGGAAACATAACTTATTTTGTCAAAAAAAAATATGATTTTAACAATAACTCAGAGCCATCTGAAATCTGGCAAAGTAGCATAAAAAAAATTGTGGCCAAGCTGATTATTTTAATTTTCCAAACAGGGCAGCAAAAGTCCGTCACCACTTGGTACCTTTCCACTTAATTCCTCAGATTAAACATAGAAGTGCGAGTCAATCAAATGCAAGAAAATGCTACTTGTATCCTACACCCAAATTATTATTAATTCTTAATTTAATTTGATGATGAATCCTTCTGTCATTAGAGTCCATGGACATGGGAGGAGAAAATGTTGGATTCTGAATCCACATCTCAATAAGTTTAAGATATTAAACTGTTTTCAGTGAAAGTGCAGGAGTAGTAGGTGGGAAAGAGGGAAATCCAAACATAACATGGGAAATAGTAGGAAAAAAAGCTCACGAGCAAACTTCTAGCACCAAAGGAAAGAGCTAGCAGTAGCCTCAGAGTGACAGACTGTTCTGGCCTGCCACAGCAATGTCAATGGTGTCTTCTCCTGCCATTTGACATGTGCCTTTTCTCAGGAACCTCTTGCCACATTTTCTGAGTCAGCAGTATAACCCCTCTGCTGCATATCATCAAACAAACATGTAAAGGAGGAAAAGTGCCAGTAGTATAACTGCTCTCCAGCAAGAGGGTAAAGGTCCTCTGAAAATGCAAGTTTGTTTGTAGAGCAACAACTAATTGTTGCCAAAATACTACATTGATTTCAATGCAGCTGAATAAGTTATTTGGCTAAGTGTATTTTATACAAGCTTATACTGCATCATTTTCCCATGTTAACTCTGTAGGTCTTTAATTCAAATAAGGGTAGTTTGGAATAAATAAAGCTATGAATTAAAATACTCTTTCTCCAAAACAGAAAATGTTAATAATTGTTAATATAAAAAATAAATATAAATACTAATCTGAGACAAGGATGAATTGTTCATGCCTCCTTACAATTGCTGACTTCAACAAAACTGTTGGAATCAGATGATTCTTAGGGTCCCTTCCAACCTAAACTTTTATGAAAGCTGAATTCTCTTCTATCATATCTGAAATTGGCCCTGGATCCCTATTAATTCAAAACCAGACTTTCTCTTTAAAATTCAGGTCTAATTTTCATCCTTAAATCCATTTTTTATAATAATTTTACACATATTGGTTCTTCTATGCTGGACAAAGACTAAAAAACTTCAACATTTATTTTCCATTAACTTTTTTTTAATAATGAAGTCATGTTTTTTATGACTTCATAAACTGGATACTTGCAGTATTTTCTCTATTCATATGCGAATTGCTCTGTAAGTAAAATAATGCTTTTTCTGGTGTTGTGATTCTATTCTTAAATGAAAGGAGTAACTTTTTCCTGCCCATAAAATATCAGTCTGAGTCAAGACTTTAATGAATTTATACACTCTTTGTAAAAGTTTTGCAATATTAGTAAAAATAACTTTTCAAAGAGGTCATAAGACACTTTTTATTACAGAACTATTTTTTGCTAATAGCCAAAACAGCCTGGCTATAAGGGCAGTGTTACCATAAAGAAGGAAAAAATGAAGAATTAAAAGCTGATAGCTACAGCAAAAGTAGACGTCTGAAATCAAATGATGAGAGAGCTTACCTCTTCATCAAGGCTATCTGCTCAAATATCTAATGACCTGGATTTTTATTATTTTATGAGGACAGTGTCTTAGTTTCTAATTATTCTATACTTCCAACATCAACCTGTATTGCCAAAGATAACAGTACTCTTACTAAAATGGCTGTTTCACTTTCTATACTCCCCTGTCCTCCAATAAGTTTTTGCTCTGTTACCTCAGTTACACAGGCTCCAGTGCATACAGCTATAAGGGAATTAAAATGTTCACAAGCATACACATTCTTTTGAAATATCACCCCAGACATTCAGGGGTCAGCCATAAAACACTGAAAAAACTGGAAGTGGATTGACCACTATAGATTCACCTGGGACACAACAGTCAAAATTTTTTGTCCAGTTCCAAGTTTTGTCACAAACCCAATTTTATCTTCAGTAGAGAGAAACGGGCATTGTCAGAAAGCAATTCATATAATTGTCTCAGACATCCATTTTAGAAAACAAATAGCACCAACAAAAGGTGATGTATATCTCATTTCCATTGCCTATACAGAGGGCTGAGAACAACCAGCTTTGACTTGAGTACTGAGCTTTTAAAAGCCTTCTAAAAGGGTGGTAAGATTCCTGTTTCGTGTATTTCACACTGGAGGTAGAGATCACCATGCAGTGTTAGATTAGGCTGAAGCATTTCTACTACCTTCTTCAGGAAGACTACAATGGAGAGTGAAGCCACATCAATATAGAATGGCTATAACATAAACCACAAAAGATGAGAGGTTGGGCATCACTGATTCAACATCATATTATCTTCTGTGTCACCCATGGGTTCAACTGGAGATGTGACCTGTTATATGGCAATGATTTAGTGCCCTTAGCTCTGTCATTCCATCTCAGTTGTAGGCACCAAAACTGACTGTGGCTATGGCTGCAAGGAAATTGTACATCCAGATCAATGTTAAGATATGATGAATTTTTTTTTAACCATACTACTCAGCCAAAGCAATGGAGGATGTTTATATTTGTGCTTTGTATGAAAGCAGCAGATACAAATTTTAAATTGTAATCTATCTTGTATCATGTTATGTTATGCAAAGTATATTTGTATACATACAGATATAGCAAAGATAAAAACTGAAAAGAGACATAATTGGAGAATAGAGAACAGTCAGTTTGATTGGTTATAATCTTTGGAATTTATTGCTAAAGTTGTTAGAGATTCTTGTTTGAAGTTCTATCTGAAGGTTAATGCTTTGGATATATCCTTTTCTAAATATTTGTGTGTTTGTACTTGCTTCCAAGGTTACCTGTATTTTATTTTTAAAAACAGATTAACTTGCAGTCTGATCTAAAATTCACTAGAATTAATGGAAAACCTCTCAATAACTTCATTAGCATTTCAATCACATCTTTAGAGAACTTCCTCCTTTCAGAATCACAGAATGGCCTGGGTGGGAAGGAACCTCAAGGATCATGAACCTCCGTGCCCCCCCCCCCCCTCTTCCCTCCCCCCCACATGCAGGGCCACCAACCTCCCCATTTGATACTAAACCAGGCTGCCCAGGGCCCCATCCAACCTGGACTTGAACACCTCCAGGGACAGGGCATCCACAACCTATCTAAGCAGCCTGTTTCAGGCTCACCACTCTCTCTGTAAAGAACTTCCCCCTGACACCCAACCTAGATCTTCCATCCTTCAACTTAAAACCATTTCCCCTTGTCCTGCTGTTATCTAGCCTTGTAAAGAGTTGACTCCCTCATGTTCATAGGCTCCCTTTAGGTATTGAAAGGCTGCAATGAGGTCACTCTGTAGCCTTCTTTTCTCCAGGCTGAACAAACCCAGCTCCCTCAGCCTGTCTTCACCAATATCTGTCCTTCTCTGTTTGTAAAAACACAGCAATGATTTAGAGTAATAGTTGAAATCATAGTTGTAATGTTTGAGAAAAGAACAATCAATTCAGTGAATTATAGAGTTCCACATATACATTTTCTTTCTTGCCAAAAGGACTTTGAGCATATTCACTTAAATTTAAGACAGTAAAAATCAGTTCACTGAGCCAGAGATATAATGTGCTTTACGTGAAGGTCTTTAAAGTAGTTGTACTTTTGCTCAGCTTAAAAGAAATTAACACTGTTGAGGTTTTATGCTGAAATATGTCTAACAATGAGGAACTGCAATAATGACAAAACTATTTCTGCTTTAGAAAAATTGATGTGGAAAATGCATCATTTTTACAACTCATATTTTAAAACTTTAACAGTTATACAAGTGAAGTCATTTTCTTGGAAAAAAAATGAAAAACTGTGGACCATGCAAGACTTTTAGAAGTGTACATCTTCAGTTCCTTACCAGAACATTTAATTCACAGCACCATAACAGTTGATAAAGTCTATCAGTACACTACATGAGCTCCACTTAAAAATTAGAACATTCTGCAAATTAACGAACTACTTATTTGCTTTAAAGACCTGATTTAAAAATCAATTAGGACAAAAGACTTCATCTTGATCAGTAACACAAGTGAATGAAGTTTTGCAGACTTCACCTATTTATCACTGGATGAAATCAGAGAGAAACAAAAAAGTTATAGTTGTAATTGCAAGAAGCTCTTTGGGTTTCACATTTAGGATGTCCATGGTCAGTGCTAACTCAGTAACAATAGAGTGACTTGCCCTGTTCTAAATGTCACCATTTTCTCATCCTTCAGGTGTACAGCACAAAACTCAATCAGGGTGAAGCTGAAATTGGCAGGAGAGAGGTACCAATTTGGCAGGACTCAAGAAGCACTTTTGGCAATGGAAGGGGAATGGGTGTAGAGCTAGACACTAAACCAGGACCACTAATACCTGGTTGGCCAAGTACTTTTCCAGGTCTGGACACCACCAAAGGAAGGATGATGCTTGAGATCTTCAGTACAAATCTATGAGAAAACTGGGAGATAAGTGTGCTCCAGACCCATCATCTGGATGAATGCTGGAGTAATGAAGGTGAATGGAGATCATTAGGGGATAAGGAAAAGTAAGTTAAAATCAGTTTTTGAATTATGTATACGATATGGTGTCCTTTGCAGGTACTTCAGGATGCTGGCTGCTGAGCTTCACAGCCCAGTGCAGAAAAGTGATACATCATGCTATGAACTACCCCACTGATGTCAAAAACTGAGCCCTTAATTTCTTCCCAGTTTTTCAAGTCTTACTTTAATAGAACACTTTTTTTTTTTTTATAGTGGCATTGTACTACCTTCACCTTGCAGTTTTGAAAGAAAGTCAGCAGTTCTATTTTCCTAGAGCTTGCAGCCCATGAAAGTACCAAATAAGTAGTCTTTAAGAACATACATTATCAATACTTGAAATTTTTGATATTCATATTCTACCTATTATTTAATTTATATATGCCATACATCATTAAATTGAGAAAGTTGTAACTGTAGGACAGTTAGAAGAGCTTAACAGAAATAAAGAACAGAGCTTTTACCAAAAGAAATCACTTAACAGAAATTTTTTAAATTGCCTGAATACCATTTTGGTTCGTTTTTTGAAGCATTTTTAACATTTGGAATCTTGTCACTCTGAATGTTTTATTTAATATTTAATACTTCTACTATTTGTGAACCCTTTCCAAGTAGCCTTACATAAACTACATCTTCTAGTTCCTTTTACACAATATGCCAATCCCTCTTAATCTACTTTAAAAATATGTTTAAGCTTCATTCTTGCCTCACATGTCATGTATTTTTTTCTTCATTGGCCCAAGTCTCTATCATAATACTTTTACTGGTTTCTTTTCTTCTCACTTATGTCCCCATTAGGAAGGGATGCTTTGCTTAGGTTGAAGACTGATCATCGGTCTTTCTTTTTTATTGGACTCCATTTCTGTTTCAAGGTGAGCACCATTAAAGCCATTCATGATGAACTCAGCTTACCACAGACCTATTTAATTTCAGCCTCTTTCTGAGAAACATGTCTTACCTGACATCTGCTCATTCCCTGTCACAGGATTCCGTCTTTTTTTACAGCAAAATGGTACAGTTGGTGCAGTACATCATCATAAATGGGAAGGTTTAAGTTATTTCCCTCAGTATAGAGAGCTTCACAAGACATTTTGCTTGAGACAGAAAGAAACCAAAAGTAAAAACTTCAGGGCTTCTCAGGAATTCAGAGATATCCGAGGAACATGCTTTAGCTATGTATTTAAACAAGCAACCCTCTGTCTTTCAGAAAACATGAGTCAGGACTACAGGCCAGATTCCATCACAACTCAGGAAATCTAGAGTAAGAGATAGATAAGTGAGGCATGTTTCTCATATAAAATGTGCTTTCAGAGTGTTCCTTAATTTTTCAGTAGAAAAACTGTCATTTCTATCATAGACCTGCCTGCATTAAGACTTTTCTTGTGCTATTTTGTATATACCAATAAGACACTGAAATTGCTCATCTGAAAAAGTGATATTTTGCTGTATTCTGCACAGTTTAGATGTGCATCTTCCACATCAGGGAGATTTCTATTGAATATTACTTGCAAGATGCCTGCTATCTCAGTCTGCACTTGTCAGAACTGTTCAACATGATAGAAGAAAGCCCTAAGGGGAAAAAAAAAAAATAGTGGATAATGCATGCCAGGCTCTGCCTATTAGCACAGATGTATCCTGGTAACTTATCAGGAAATAGCAGGCACCCATCATGAGTATAATTGTGTCAGATTCTCCTTTCCAAGAAGCTGTTGCCCAAAGCTAGACATGTCACAATCTCCTTTGAAAAAGAAGATGTAAATGGAAAAATCATTCAACTGAAGGTATTATGTAGCAAGCTTCACAAGTCTGAACAGCTCAAATTTTCCCAGAAGTCTGTCTCTCCAAATTGTTTTTTAAATAGTTCACCCTACAGATAGATTAGCTTACCACAGTCTTTCCCTCATTGAATTCAATGCGGTAAGAGAAACAACTTGAGCATTGTGACTAATCAGTGTAGAACTTATATCAGATTTTGAAGTAATTAATGTAAAAGTCATGCAGTAGAGCATAATTTCATGTTCTAATGATGTTCTGAATAAAAGTCACATAATGATTGTAGAAAGCAAGGGTTAGAAAATATTTAACAGATGCTTGTCTGTTCTTATGGGAAGATCAGCAAATATAGTCTTCAGGGAAAGGTGTATAAGTGTATGCATGCAGGTCTGTACATCTCTCTGTATCACCTCAGTCTAAGTATTTAGAAAGGATATAAATGCATAAAACAAAACAGGTAAAGTTGTGAGAAGTTTTATTTTTTAAATTGCTTACAGTTATATTAACTGCATCTTGAAATTAGTGTGTACTGCAAAAGTTGTTGTGCATGTTTACATGTTATAAGGAATACAACTGTCATTTTCCATAAGACTAGGGAAGTCAAGATCTTCTTGTCTTCAGGATTTCCTCATAAGTATTTCACATTCTTGTTCCCTGAAGGGAAGAATGAGCAGGTATTTTTATAGATTCGGTGTTACTGTAATAATCAGTGTCCAAATCATATTTTAGAAGGCTAAGCAAAGCTATAATCACTAGAGATTAGGGTGAAACTTTTCCACTCCTATAAATCAGTTTTCCATGCATTCATTTTAAGGCACTGATATGACCAATAATCAAGAGAAATAGGATGTTAGATAAGCAGACTATGAGTCAGCTCTCACTCATTATGACAGCTCCTTAGTTTAAGTGGATTTGCAGAAAATAAAGTACCTTTTCTATTTGATCATCAAGTGAGACTATGGCCATGCAATCTACCCACATTGTTCAGCTCCCATTCTTTTCTGACAACTCTTTCAATCTTTTGACAGAAATATAAATTCTCTAAACAAAGGTGAGGTACCAAGATACTATATAAATATCCAGAGGTAAATAAGACAGATAAAATACCCATTAAATGAATAACAAGGAAAGCAAATGTTGGCCCACCTCACCTGAATGATTCATTTAAAATAAGTCTCAGTGATACCATCTTTACCATAAAGCAGTCATAAAAATTCTAGCAGTAATTAGCCATAGAGCTGATGCAAACAAACCCTCAATGTTCAGGTTTCACTACATTAACAATCAGAAAAATCAATGCAATGGAAGGGCAATACAGGAGTAACATCAAAGGGACCAGTACAAATAGAATGCTGTTACAAAGAAAAAGGGCTCACCCAGCTATGAAGATCCAGGTTCACAAGGAAAACTCCACAAGGGAGGGATCTCCAACCAGAGATCCTGCTCTAGGGGCAGTCAGCCCTTAGATGAGCTCTAAGAGAGGTGCAGCCAGGCTCCACCCCTTCGGGTCACACAGCTGAACTGCCTTCACCTGTGCTCCAAGGGCTGAATGGATTTTTTCCCCAGGTACTCAATCAGTGGTTCAGACTGTGATTCAACAGTTGCCATACTCAAGTGAAAATTTTTGTAGTCTGTTTTAGTTATTTTTTTGTCATAAACAACATTAGTTCATTATGTTAAAAGATGATTTATGAATTCAAGTTTCAAATGCATAAAATCTTTGAGGCTGAAGTAGGAGCAGTGTGATAAAGTAAATACAGCTGTATAAACAGGCACGTATCTTGCATCTTATCTCTCCCCAGAAATTATCTGTCAGTCTCTCACGACCCACAGCACAATGTCCTCTTTTACATACCAGAGCCTTATTCAGGTTGGAAGATGTTTTTAGAGATGTCTCCAAACTCCTTCTCAAAGACAGATCAGCACTGAATTCATAACGTGTTACTTGGGATTTTGACTCTTAAGATCTTCAAAAAATTCTAAACAGAGACATTCGAAGGAACTCAGCTTGGAACCAGTCCTCTGAAGAGAATGAATCCTTAACCATGGACATGCAATCTTTCTAAAACCAAGAATAGATTCTTATTGTTTTTCAGAAGGTGTCAGCACCTATGAAGCACAGCTAGCGCATCCACACTGTTGTGGTTTAACCTGGTAGGCAGCTGAGCATCACACAGACACTCATTCATTCCTCTCTCAGCTGGATGGGGGAGAGAATCAGGAAAAAAAAAAAAAAAAAAAAAAAGAAGAGCCAGCAGCGTGCTCTTGCAGCCCAGAAGGCCAGCAGTGTCTTGAGCTCCATCAAAAGAGAGTGTCAGCAAGGCAAGGGAGGTGATTGTCCCCATCCACTCTGCCCTTGGAGGGCCCTAGGGAGTATTGTGTCCAGGGCTGGGGCCCTTGGTATAGGAAGGACACGGAGCTGAGGAGGAACTCCAGAGGAGGACCACAAAGATGATCAAAAGGCTGGAGTATCTCTGCTGTGGAGAAAGGTTGAGGGAGTTGGACTTGTTTATTTTGGAGAAGGCTTCAGGAAGCTCTCATTGCTGTCTTCCAGTACTCTAAGGGATCTTACAAGCAGGAGGAGAACTTTTTACATGCTCTGACAGTGACAGGACAAGGTGTGATCACTTTAAACTAAAAGAGTAGATTTAGGTAAGATGTTAGGAATACATTTTTTACTCAGAGAGTGGTGAGGTGCTGGAACAAGTTGTCTGGAGAGGTTGTGGGTGCCCCATTCCTGGAGACATTCAAGGCCATCTTGGATGGGATCCGGGGCAGCATGATCTAGTGGTTGGCAATCCTGCCCACAGCAGGGGGTTGGAACTTGATGATCTTTACTCCTCCAAACTAAGCTATTCTATGATTCTACGATTACATAGTAATTAATGTCATACAATTCAAATCATTGGTTATTCTCTCCCAGTATTAAATCTCCTTGAGGTACACTCTGGACATCCTCAGCCTGCCACATTACCCACCACATGCACCAAGCTACTTGAAGAAAAGTAATGGTTTTGCCCCTGCATTGCCAGTTGTTTTTCTTCCATTTGCCATCATCCATGAGTCAGTATAGGCAGAGCACTGGCCACTTTTCTTGTTCAATAACATGTAAAGCCAGCTGGATGGCTTTCACTTCTGCCAATCATCTCAATTTACCTTCTCCTTCAGCAGTTTCTGCAGCTCATTGTGTAGGACTCCATACCATAGCCTTTCACATCCGATGATTTCTCACAATGTGACAGGACCCATCCATGACCAAGGCATATTTTCTGGCAGTTTATTATATAGTGGAGCCTCTTCTGGCAATATTCCAAAATTTCTGCCTTTGGGCCAGGCCATAATCATTTCTAAGATTCTTGGACAACTGGAATTCCCTATGTGACTCCAGTGTGTGATTGGTGAGACCCACGTACTCCATGTAGCATCAGCTGTATGATGTGTGGAGGGAAACCATGCCTCTGAACATCCAGCCCAGCACAGGCAGTCAGGGTTCCAAAAGGAAATGTGTTTCAGTACCAACCACTTCCAAAGAAGCTTGGACCCCTTCATACATTGTCAATATCCCTTTCTCAATTGGAGTGTAGCAGGCTTCACATCCTCTGTATCATCATCTCTAAAACTCCTGGCATAGGCCTGAAATAAATGTTCAGACAAATTTTTCAAAGAATACCGTAACTTCACTTGATTCAGATTTGAAGCTACTAATTAGCATTTTTTTATATTATATCCAACTATTATTGGCAATGTCTGGGTGGCTTTCCTGTCGAAAAAAGTTGTTTAATCCCTTGGGCTCACTTTATACAGTGAGATATAATTTGCTAACATTCAAATAAAGCATTTTCAGATTTCCAATGAACGCAAGTCATCAAATACTTATTAATTATCTGGAGCACTTCTCAGTTTGTACACTGTCACTCTTGTGTGTGTATGTGGAGGAGGTTGACTTTGATAGCCAAAGCTCATAACTGATCAGTTTATCGTATTCAAACTGCAATCTTAACTAATAACCACAATGACAGCGGAAACAGGAAAAGGGTTCAAAGCATGCATAAAACAAGGAGAGTGCTCTCTCATTTAAAATTTTTAAGCAGAAACAAGAGTTTCAGTATGTTTATACAGGCAGATTGAGCTACCACAGACTTAGTGGAAAAAAAACAAAAACCATAGAACAACTTGAAACATCTAATAAATTAACATTCAAAGTATATAGTGAACTTCTGTCTTCAGCAAACTTATGTTCTCCTAATTTATGAGTCGGAGCCATTTCTCTCTTTTCATAATACAGAACCTTTGGATTTCATATAATGGAAACAGAAAATTAAGGTTATCACAGATATACGTTCCAAACGTCTATCTTTTTATTAATTAGTATGTTCTGTACTTGATCCTGCACGACTAGAAAACTCACAAAGGTAGCTTCCAAATACCTGTACACTGCTGCATGAGCTCTACTTACACAAATTAAATACTGCAAACACAAGTGGTGTTGCAACTGACAAGCCAAATGCTTTGTGTATGAGTTTTAGAACAAACAAGGAAAAATTTGTGGGTTTTTTTATTCTAATAAAAATAATAGAACTAATGTGAAAAAGTTGAGCAAAGTAGCTATAATCATCCCCTCTGTTTTCTGAGGCAAATGCAAAACATAGCAAACATATTGATTAAGACTGCAGTTTCATCTGTCCCTGTTTCATATCTGACTGAGTTGTACATCTTGAAGAAGAGTGTAAAAAGCAAAGACCATTAAAAGTAATCCTTCAGATAGCAGCATTCTCTCAGCTTCAGACAGTTGAGAAGTAGCTAGGGGTTTATGCCAGTTTAACAACTTCAATGCTATCCCATAGTGAATGCTACTTCTTTTGTTTCCTAAATTATAAATCAATAAATTAATTTCCCTTCCACTCACATCTGAGTTTAATTTAATTCTCTTTTTTTTTTTTTTTTTTTAAAGACCTCAGAGGGGAAGGTAGATTCCCTCAGATTCTCTATCATGAACACAAAGAACAAATTTCATTAGTCTATCACAGCTGACCTTAATATCTTTTTTATACCTCATGCTTCTGCCAATGTTCCTGTTCCAGTGTTTTAAAAATCCACCAGCACCATATTATTTGTCTGCATGCTATAGCGATTTGCTGCACATCTCTGCTTTTTGCTCTTCTATTTCCCTCATTTGGACAAAATTTGGACAAATCTACTCTATTGCCTCAACCGAATATTTTTTGTTTGCTTGGTCAATTCTCTAAGAATATTTTTCAGCTGGCATTGGCACACAGATTTATTTTCAGTTAATATTTTATGTTAGTTTTAAACAACTGTCCTGCTATTCGTAAGCTGTTTATCCTTCCTACAAGTGTTACATCATTGTTCAGTATTTTCTCTCTTTATTTGCAGACATGTCATAATGCTAGGAACTTCCGCGTGTGTGAAGGCTTGTATGCATATTTTATTTAATTTCCTCTGAATTTTCACTCTCTCAGTTAAACTAAGAGTTTTTAAGTAAAATGAAATCTTAATTATCCTATTTAAACTTGCTATTAAGTCATTGCCTCTGAATCTCTACAAGCATTCCAAATGGGACTCTGCACACTTACGTATCTTTCTGAAATGTTTATTAGCAATAATCTGCTCTTTACTAGGAGAGGAATTAAATAATCTTGTGATATTTTACTTTGCTAGTAAAGTAACTATAGGGATTACAAACATCTATAATTTTCACACATTTCAATTTTTGACTTTGGCATTCTCTCTGGATAAATACCTTAACAAACAAAAATATTCATTTATTTCCTGTCAGGGAGGATTTTCTTTCTTTTACCTTTGAAAAAATGTTTTGCCAATTCCCTCATTCACATTACAAACTCTTTATAGCCTAATTTCATAAACATAAAACATATTATCATAACATGAAACTAAACTGAGAATGCAGTAAGACATCTGATTAAAATGAGATCACAGTGTGAATAACAACAGGCTCAAAGTGAAACAGAAACTTAAAATATCAGTTCAAAAATCTATAATGTCTAAATAAGTTTCTGGAAATCAATAGCAAAGATAGACTTTAACCCTCTCTTTAAGTGACATTTGAAGGTATTTGTGTGCTAAAATCCTAAAAGCAAATTTTTACACTGTGATCTTAGGTCCAAGTTCTTCTCTGTATGTCTTATAGGATATGGAATTGGGATCATCATTTACCTCCTCAGAATACATAGTAATATTGATCAAAACACTTAATAAGTGAAGACTTGACAATTTTTATTTGTGGAAAATTACATTTGGCAATCTTCAGTTCTCTAGATCTCTTAAGGATTAATATGAACTTGTATTCTCTTAATAGTACAATCTACAGGATTGTTCCAAACTGAGGACAGTTCTCCATGGATGTATATGCTTATACATATACTTATAGCCATATATTCATGTTCACACTCAAGAAAACTTGT